CCGAAGAGGTCCCGTACGTTCGGGTGTTCGGGTTCGGGCGTTCGGCCCGCCGGTAAACCTATATATATGTATATATATATGTAAATATTTAGGTAGTAAAAATGACCATTTGTGCCGATTCGGTTCAAATTTCATTTTTGTCACTCTACCAATATTCAACATTATGCTAACAGTAGCCCTCATAAGTGTATGTTACCAATCCTCGTACTTTTTTTCAGTCAGGGAAGTGGTGACTTACATCAATACTATAAAGACTCAAGTTCAAATTCTGTCAATACCTAAAATGAACAAGGTCCAGTCTCGTGCAGTAATCTATTATGAATCCGACAATTACACATTTGTATTGCCGCAATTTGCCTTAATGCCAATACGCGAATTCTATCCCGTATTTGGACATATGACCAATCGAACTGTTAATCCTTAAATTTGTACACATACCATTCATGACTTATTCTACTCAACCACCTCCTTGACCTTTGTGGTCGAAGGGTTTTTCTTAACTATTAAATTTTATCATACGTTGTATTCGCCAGACCCGACAACTAAACCTTTCAATCGTCCTGACCACATTGTCGAGGTTTATACTAATCTTAATAATGTCGTCGGATTGCAGACACACGTACGCCCAACTAATGTCTTGCCCTTAATATAACGCATATGCATTGTATACCTGTTAAAAATAAAACCGTCTCTAATAGAACACATATGTGTTGTATTTGAATTAAAGCATTGTTCGAGTAAGATGCATGCGTGTAATATTCAAATAGAGAGTAACTTGTATGTTGTATTTGTTTATAATTTATATGTATTATGGTCAGGGAAAAACAATAGTTTATTTAATTGATCCCTCTACGACCTCGGTCGAAAGGTATTACTATTAATCTTAACCATCCTAATGCACATCGCAACAACTAATCAAATTGTCTTACCCGTTTTTTCTTGGACCCGATGAAACCAAACCTTTTAATCGCTACAACCATACGATCGAGGTTTATATTAATCTTAATCATGTCCCCGGCCTGCAAACACACTTACGCCATTGACCTTGTCTAGCCCGACTACCTTATTTTTCCAAATATAATGCATTTGCATTTTATACGAGTTAAAAAATAAAGCGATGATTTAAATAAAACACATATGCGTTGTATTTATGTTTAAGTGTTGTTCAAACAAAACGCATCTGTGTTGTATTAAAATAGAAAGCAACCTATATATTGTATTTGTTTACAATATATATGCACTATTTTTGAAAAAAAATTGTAGTTTATTTTAATAGGGGGAAATGATAAAACCTCTCTGCGCGAAAACTTTTGCATTCATTTTACCCCAAAGGGGCAAAAGTTATCACAAACCAAAAAATGATTTTTTATACTCTTTTTGCACAATGAATGAACTAGTAACGGCCGTTGTGCTAAATGGAGGGAAAATATTTTAAAGGGTGCAAAAATGATGCCGAAGGTCATTTCGAGGCCTGCAACACCTTTTGCCTCGTTTGGGTGGAAATGAATACAAAGGTGTTGTCGCAAGGGGTGGTTTAAAACTTTTTCATTTTAATTGATCCCTCGACGTCCGCGGTCAAGGGGTATTACTACTAATCATAATCATCATGGTGCACATGACAATCCTAATCATCCTGCCATACATTGCAACGTCGCACACATGTACTAATCAACTTTTCTTACCCGGTTTTCCTTGGCCTCAATGGTTGAGGTGTGCTCCACACAGACAATTATCATTCACATACCTCTCTTCAGTGTCAAAGCTGCACAGACTTCAGTGTCAAAGTTGCAAAGACTTTTAAAAACACGAGCAAATATCCTTGTGAGGGTATTTGCTCCGACATCGTCCTCCTCCAAATTGAGATCATGAAAACACGCTAATTTGGAAGGATCTGTTTCAGCTACCGGGCGTAGACCTTTGGGGGACCAGAGCCTTACTGTGAATTCCTAAGCCCCGAAACAACCCCATATTAGCTTTGTTGGCCCATTAAAGAAAATGACAAATTACAGACAACGACAAAATGCAACCAAGCGCAGCCTCTTGGCTGCAAACTAAGTGTCTCGCTCCCCCACTAACCAAATGCGCAAAATGTGAAATATGAATTCCTAAATCCCCAAACAACCTGCATTAGCTTCATTGGCTGACACGGCACTACCCGAAATGGGCAGGTACAGAAAACGAAAAAACGCAACCGAATAAAGTGCAGCCTCTGGCTGCGAACGAAGGATCTCGCTCCACCACTCTTCAAATGTAAAATGATAATGAATCTTTCGCTAGAACATGGAACGATACACCACCTTTTTTTTGTGGGGGGGGGGGGGAAACTAATCTATATTCTTCTCTCAATCTTCTTTGCATATATTTTCCTCATCTATCTCATCCTCTCGCTACTCTATGTATAGTACAGGGGAACACCAACCAAACCTGGAACTCTCCCCAACCCACAGGGTAGGTTGGCACCACAGCAGTGGTGCGAGAGCAAGGCTTGTATGAGCCCCTCGTCACGATGATGAGGGGTGATCAGGCATTGCCGGCGGGGGAAACCGGCGGGGGAAACCGGCGATGCTAACGTAGTGCCGAGCATCTTTGGCCAGTCACTTGCGCCTCCCCCTTACCCCCCTCCAACCCCACATTAGCGGTGTCTAATGGCCAATAGCATTGCTGCATAGCAACCAACAATATTGGGCCAAGGTCCTGCCAAAACCGGCGATGCCGAGCATCTTCAATCAGTCACTTGCACCTCCCCCTTACCCCCCTCCAACCCCACATTAGGGGTGTCTCATGGCCAATACCATTGCTGCATAGCAACCAACAATATTGGGCCGAGGTCCTGCCAATGCTGGCTTGGAGAGCCAACGGGTTATCTCTAGCTGGTAGAACACCAAGCTCGCCCAGGCAAGTACTTGAGGCCAGTGGGGATTGAACCGACGACCTCCTGAATGCAACTTCTGTGCCTTACCAACTGAGCTATAGGCCCGCAGGCTGAGCGCCCTAAATGTGCAAAATGAGAATTAATCTTCCCCTCGAACGTGGAAAGATACACCCGCCATATTTTGTCTTTTCTACATCTGATCGGCGGTGCGGCAAAGGCTTTGTGTGTATATAATATAGATTCGTTTTGTTCTAAACGATCTTCATAATATGATAAGATATAAAATGTTTTGTGAATCAGAGAGATGGTGGGAGATATCAGTGGGACACGTGGCAGATGCCTGGGCGGTCGTTCTGCCACGCGGACTAATTATGTACAATGGCCATGTCGATAGCTGCTACGGCGGCGGTATGGAAGCCGCAGCGTAGTAGTATCTTTGTCCGGATCGGGGCGCAGATTTCTTCCACGTGGCCTTGTGTCATTCAATCCTAGTGGAGAGCGGCCGCGCACTAATAAGAAGCACGTGGCTTGGCTGCTAATGTGCCACGTGTCTGGCTGCTAATGAGCCACGTTGCCGGCTGGTAACGACCCACGTATTGGCCACTTGGCTGGCTGTGAGTGAGCCACGTGGCTGCCTGTGTAATGAGGCACGTGCCAGTCCCTGTTAATGAGCCACGTGGCGGGTATTCAGCCACGTGCGCCTCAATGGGGGGGAAGGGGATTCGAGGAGAGGCGACCACGTGTGATGGTTGGGCTGCTGCTGCTGCTGCGTCTTTTGCGGGGTGGTTTTGTTCTTCTTTTTCTTTTTTTTGTTGAAAATTCAATCGTATCGCAGATTCACGGGTGGTTTTAGAGCCTCCCTTGCCAGCTTTTCAGAGCAGTCAGTTTTTTTTTTTTTTTTTTTTTTTTTTTTTTTTTTTTTTTTTTTTAATAGAAGCCAGTTGCTGTTGCTGCTGCAGAAAAAAAAAAAAGAGCTTTAAAAAAAAAGGAAAAAGGATGGAGCTGCTGCAGGGCCTCCGAAGAACCGCGTTACAGAGATCGCTTGGCAGCAGAAGCAGACACCACGTGTCACAACTTGCGGTCGAAATGGATAAGACGAACGGATGGCACAAGTCGTCGTCGTTTGTGAAATGGATAAGCTATTCTTATTATCGGGGATGGGATCTCGACTACAGGCTTGGCAGCAGAAGCAGACACCACGTGTCACAACCGCAGACGTCCGTCATCGCCTTTTCGACCGCAAGATGGGATCCCGACTACAGGCTTGGCACTCTTCGTTCTCGTCTTCCTGCAGCAGTGAATGTTGGACTGAGAGGAAATCCCGATGACATATCTCAATTGGCTTTTTTTGGGATCGGAAGTACAAAACTAGAAAACACTTATCTTTATCTGGAAAATAATAATAATAATAATCATAATAATAATAGTACTACTAATATAGTTAATGATTATCCTGCGGATCATCATCATCATCATCATCATCATCATCATCATCCACAACATCATCATCAACATCATCAACATGAGAAAGTGGAAATGGCGTGCTCCTCCTGGTGTGATCCGCCTGGTCAGGGATTGAGGAAACGACAAGTGGCGTTGCCACGTGGATGGTTGTGGATAAGGTTGAGTAGGAGAAGATTGGGGAGTTTTGGGATAAGAAGAAGAGTGGAGGCGGAGGAGGAGGAGGAGAAGGAGAAGACGAGTGGCACTCTGCAGCGGCAGCCCTCGGGCGACTCTCGACAGGTTGGACTTGTTGTTGGTGGAGTTGGCACGTGTGAAAGGGAAAGGAAAGTGGATAAGGTTTTGTTAGCAGCGTTGCCACGTGGATGTGTGTCGGATAATAACGAACTGGATAAGGTTTCCGAAGCAGCAGCAGCAGCAGCAGCGGCGGCGGCATTGCCACGTGGATGTAGATCGGATCGAAATCTCGATCCCGACGCAGATGCGGACGAAGCCGCATCTGCGGATTGGGGGGGGGCGCATGGTGGTGGTGCTCCTCGCAATCTTCTTTTCTTATCGGTCGGGACCCCGACTGATAACGTCAGTGGACTGCTGCTTGATCGCCGGAGGCGGCTGATGACGTCAACAGGAAGTGAATCTCGACGGACACCGCTGGATCGCGACGAAGTTCATCAGAGGGGTGGATTGTTGTTGATGTCAACTTCTTGCCAGGTGATGGCGACCCTCGGAGGAGCTACTAGAGGGGCTTGTCATCAAACATCCTCCTCCTCCTCCTCCTCCTCCTCCTCCCCCTCCTCCTCCTCTTCGTCTTCTACTTCTGCGTTAGCCTTGTGGTGGTGGAGGAGGAACCGGAGCTTGACACGTGGCATGCACTTTGAGAGTGTACGATTAGGGATTGATGAGCAGGGGGAGGGGGAGTTTGGGGAGCAGGGGGATTTGCGGCGGGGAGTGGCCGGAGGGGGAGTTGGGATCGGGGTGGGTGACGAGGGAATGCAGAGCGAGCTAAAGCAGGAGGAAGAGGAGGAGGGAGTGATATGCACAAGATCGCGGCCGACTGGCGATGAACCTAGCGCTGGTGATAAGAGAGATGCCGTCCCGATCGGAGGCCGTAGTAAGAGAACTGATGGAAGAGATGGGATCCCAGCCGCTGGATATGTCGCCGACGGTGGAGATGGAAGACAACGACTCATAAGAAGAAGGAGAAAGGGACCAAGGCAGGAGCGAGAGAGAGCGGAGGAGGAGGAGGAGAGGGAGGAGAGGGAGGAAAGGGAGAAAGTACCTTTTCTCACTGCTATTCTGGTCGGCAGGCCCAATGTTGGGAAGTCGGCTTTGTACAATCGTCTCGTCAGACGGAGAGAAGCCCTGGTGAGTTTTTTTTTTTTTTTTTTTTTGCTGAGTTTGAAATTGAAAAAAAAATACTTTTGTGAATTTAAGTTGGAAATCCGTTTTTGAATTAAAGAAAAGTTGAAAATACCTTTGTGAAATTGTGAATTTAAAAAGTTAGAAAAGTACGTTTGTGAATTTAAAAAGTTGAAAATACTTTTGTGAAATTTAAAAAGTTAGAAGAGTACTTTTGTACTTTTCTGAAATTGAAAAAGTTACAAGAGTACTTTTGGTGAATTTTAAAGGTTGAAAACTATTTTTGCGAATTTAAAAAGTTGAAAATACTTTTTCTGAATTTACGAAGCTGGAAATGCTTCTGTGAATTTGAAAGTCTTAACAATTCTTTTTGTGAATTTGAAAGTCGAAACAAAACTTTTTGTCCCAATTTAAGTCGAAAATACTTTCGTGAACTGGAAAAGTTCTGTCTCTTATACACATCTAGATGTGTATAAGAGACAGGCCCAGGGCCATGGCACATGTATTAGTATTAGAAATAGCAGAGTCAGTTAATACCGACGCATAGCCCAACACATAGCCGCAAATTGCAGCTGAAGCATGTGAAAAAGATCTCGAAATATCCGATAAATAACAATGAAGCACCTGTCTCTTATACACATCTAGATGTGTATAAGAGACAGGCCCAACACATAGCCGCAAATTGCAGCTGAAGCATGTGAAAAAGATCTCGAAATGAAAAAGATCTCGAAATGAAAAAGATCTCGAAATATCCGATAAATAACAATGAAACACATCCCATAGCTTTCGCTATGGCACCCCGAACTAGTTTCGGTCATAATGCCCGAGGCGTTGGCATCCCCAACTAGTTTCCGTCCAGATGCCAGTAGCGACCTCATCAGGGGGCGGGGGGCGTTTCGAGATCTATATGAAATTTAATCGGCCGATAAATTTTTAATGCGTCCAGATGCGGAAACTTTTGCAATGAAATTTAATCGGCCGATAAATTTTTAAAGTTTAAACGTAATTTATTCCCCCCCCAAAAAAATTGTCCAGGAAAGGTTTCTAACCGTCTCCACGGAATTTCGCATTTTTGAAATTTTGAACTCCTTTTTTGGAGTTTTCCTTCACAGGGGAAAAAAAAAAATTGCGGAAATTTTATGTCCATGGCGAATTTATGGAATATCGAAAAATTCTGATGACAAATCCAGGGAATTTTGCATGTGAGAAAAAGAGAAAAATTATTCAAAAATAATAAAAAATTGCCATTACAAATTATATTGCATGGGAGTTTCAGTTCACATGTAAGAGTGGAAATTTCGTGCATTTAACCAGCGGGCGTAGCTGAGTTGGTAAACCCATGGACTGTTGAATTATGAATCAGACCCAAGTTCAAATCCAGATGCAATCAGATGCGAAGGGAGAGATAGGGGTGCAGAGAAGGTATGGCTAGAGATAGGGGTAAAGACAAGGTAGGGATGGGGTACAGATTAGGGTACATAGTGGAGTATTGGAGTACAGATAGGGTAGAAATATGGTAGAAATATGGTAGAAATAAGGGGTGCAGATAGGGGTACGGCTGGGTGCCAGATAGGGTATAGATAGGGGTATAGATAGGGGTACAGAACGGGTACAGATGGGGTACAGAACGGGTATAGATAGGGGAACAGAGCCGGTACAGATGATGTAAAGAAAGGGGTACAGCCGGGTGGAGATACATTTTAATAGGGGTAAAGATATAGGGTACGGGCGTGGTACAGATAGGTGTACAAATAGGGTACAGATAGGGGTACAAATAGCGTACAGATAGGGGTACAAATAGGGTACAGATAGGGGTACAAATAGGGTACAGATAGGGGTACAGATATGGGTACAGAAAGAGTACGGGTAAGGGTGCACGCAGGGTACACAGATGAGGTAGAGATAGGGATACAGATAGGGTATCGATTTGGTAGAGATAGGGGTGCAACTGGCTACGGATAGGGTGTGTATACAGATAAGGCACTGGCATAGGGGTACGAATAGAGGGTACACTTGGGGGATACAAATGCGGTACAGGTAGGGGTACAGCTGGAAATTCGATGCGTACTTTTTTTTTTTTTTTGGTGTGCGTGTGTGTGTTATGGGAATGGGGTATAGGGGTACAGCTGGAAATTCGATACCTACTTTTTTTTTTTTTTTTTTTTTTTTGTGAGTGTGTGTATGGGATTAAGAAACGATCGAATCGCAAAAGGGTATTCCAAAATCTTTCTTACTCCAAAAAAAGGAACATATCTTGATTATTATAATATAAAATTTATAAATATGAATATTATTATTAAAATTTATATTTGTTATAAAATTTGCTATCGTAAACAGAGGTAAATGCCGAGAACCTGGACGCCTGTGTGTATATATTATGACCCCATACCTTGGCCGCCATCTCACCCCCATTTCTACCCCACATAACATTTATAGGGTTTTACACCTTCACCACGGAATTTCGGATGTACAAAGTTGAATAAAATCTCCGATTAATCCCAAAACACAAATAAAATAAAATAAAAAAATCTCCGATTAATCCCGAAACAAAAAAATAAAATAAAAAATCTCCGATTAAATTTTAAAAGATAGTGCGTATGGAATTTGAGACTGTAATCCTGGGGCGAGGTACCACTCGCAAAGCTGTAATTGGATTTCTTGCCTGAATCTGGTCGTGTTTGTGGAGTGGTGCAGAAAATCGAGATTGATCTGCTTTTCTGCATCTCTCCATAACACACGGCCAGATTCAGGCGCACTTGATTCAATCCTCTTTGCTACAGTAGTGGGAACACGGGTTCAACTCCCGTTATTCGCCTCTAAGCCAAATGCCCCCCTACCGGTAGTGTGAAGTGCGGTCGCACCTGATGTTACGAGGGACAGTCCGCTTTGAGGAAAAAAAGGGGGGAAAAAAGAAACAGACAAAAAGAAAAAAAAGGGAAAAAAGGGGAAAAAAAAAGAAAAAAGGGAAAAAAAAGAGAAAAAAAGAAAAGAAAAAAAAAAGAAAAAAGAAAAGAAAAGGAAAGAAAAAGCTTAAAAAAAGGGGGGGGGAAAGAAACAGACAANAAAGAAAAAGCTTAAAAAAAGGGGGGGGGAAAGAAACAGACAAAAAAAGGGAAAAAAAGGAAAAAAAAGAGAAAAAAAAAAAGAAAAAAGAAGAAAAGGAAAGAAAAAACTTCAAACACTGATTAAAAAAGAAGTCGAAAAAGCGTTTATACTCCGCTTTGAGGAAGGAAAAAAAAGGGGGGAAAAAGAAACAGACAAAAGAGAAAAGGGAAAAAAAGAAAAAAGGGGAAAAAAAGAGAAAAAAAGGAAAAAAAAGAAAAAAGAAAAGAAAAGGATCGAAAAATCTAAAAAAAAGGGGGAAAAGAAGAAACAGACCAAAAAAAGGGGAAAAAAGGAAAAAAAAGAGAAAAAAAAGAAAAAAAAAAAAAAGGAAAAAACGAAAAGGAAAGAAAAGGAAAGAAAAAACTTCAAAAACTGATTAAAAAAGAAGTCGAAAAGGGGTTTATAACTGCGTAAACGTTCGCATTGCTTGTAGGGCATTTACTCCACAACTAGACTTCTGCCAGGCTAGACCCCAAAGCATAATACAGTAATGAAATGATGATTACTCACGGTCACCCCGCTTACAACAGTACACAACCT